AAATGCCATACCAAGAATAATATCATTCACAAACTTAAGTTCAGGTGATAATATAAGTTGACCTTGCCCTTCTTGAACCTACTTATCACAAACTTGTAATTTATGGCATAAGGTATTTAAGGTATAAGGTAGCTTATAAGGCATTTCCCCCACCTTCTTAGTATGCTATCGTAGTGTAGTGGACAGCACGCTGGGCGCAAATTCGAGAGGTCCGTGGATCGAGTCCCGGCGAGAGCATTGCTTATTTTTCGTCTCTGCTGCTTCGAAATAACCTAATGTCTCTACAATGCCACCCGAACAAAAAAGGGTGGTGGATAATGATTCTCCACACACGGGATTTGGCGATTGGGTCCCCTAAAATCCCGAGTCGCCCTTTAAAGAGGGGTATATAAGGTGTTTCTCCCGTCTTTTTAGCATGCCTTCGTAGTGTAGTAATCAGCACGCTGGGCGCGTATTCCAGAGGTCCGTGGTTCGATTCCTGGAGAGGACGTTGCTCATTTTTCATCACTCTTGCTTTCAAAAAATACTTAGTGTCTCTACAAGCTGAAGATGACAAATTCCAATATTCGTATGAAGATAAGTAGAGAGATCTAGGGTGTTTCCCCATGTTCAAGAAAATAAGCAAACTAACGAATTGCATCTAAGCGGCAGAAAATATCATGATAGTATTGACGTTAATATACCTTTTATCTCTAATCTAATCTTCTTTGTACACTAAGTACAGAAAAATGAAAACAAAAGTAATCGAAACTGCTGAAAACTTCAAAATATTATCATAAAATAATAATACAGTAGTCAGAAACGAAAAATATTTTCTTTCAATAAATATCCAAACATTTCATGATTATTTCCTACCTTTTTACTTTATTCGCAGCTGGATGTGAAATGAAGTGAGAAAACAACGTGAGGAATTTTCTGCTATTTTGCTTATTCGCTGAAATGATTTTGAATGGAATGTGTCAAAAACTTTTATCAACACCAAACAGCTAAAGGAATCCGTACCTTCAATACATACCGACAGAAAAAGGAATGTTTAAGAGAAATTCGAAAGTTTTATATCAAAATATTTTTAGCAAAGCGTTATATCAATTCAATAAATTTCGGGGAGAAAACTTTCCATTTTTAGATCGTGAACGTTTTATTTCTGAAATTTGCTAATGCATTGAAACTGGAAAATTTAACCTCTTTGCAGGTAATGTGTTTTATGAAGAATTTGTAATTAGATATATGTTTGGAGGCAAAGTTAATAAAAATGCATGTTTCATATGCATAACATTTTCAATTGTTAACGAATTAGGAATGTTACTACATATTTGTCGAAGAAGATTTAATAATTTGCTTTTGTTAAAAAAAAAACGAAAAAAAAAAAATAATAATTCATTTTTAAATCTAAAATTGCTGCAAACTGCTTTAATAAATGTGTAACATTCTTTATGAAATTAAGCTTCGAAAATTATATTTTTATAATGCGTTCTTAAATGACTGTTACCTCTGTCTTGATTTTTTTCCTGACTTTAAAAATCTTGTTAATGGTAAACTGCGTTATATTAACAACAATAGAATTTTTGTATAAAAACGGCTTACCGTATTCCCCCCGTTTATACTTTGTAGAGACATTAGGTTAATTAGAAGCCGGCAAGAGGAAAAATTTGCAACACCTACGCCGTTAATCGAACCGCGGACTTCTGGAATACGCGCCCAGTGTGCAGACCACAACACCACGAAGGCAGGAAAAGAAGGCGATAGAAATATATTATATACTCTCCCTTTTAAAAGGTGACTGTGCTTTTTTAGAGGACCCAATCGCCAAGTCCTGGGTGAGAGAGGATCATCATCCAGCACCCTTTTAGTTCGGGTGCCACTGTAGAGACATTAGATTAATTGGAAGCAGGCAAGATGAAAACTGCAATATATGCAATATGTAATAAGATAACAATGCAATATGTAACAATGCAATATGTAATAAGATATTTTAATTTTTCTTTCTTTTATCTTAAATCTTTGCAGCTGTTAATCTTGTTTACTGCTCCCCCCATGGCCTCGCTTGTGTTATCTGTTACAGCTGCAAATCTTCGCCGTTGTCAGTATTTTAATCGCCTTTGTTACCATTCGGTCTGTTTTCACATGCGCAATCATGTTCAAAACCAACAGAAACGTTCAATTTCTACTCATCAAACTATGTCCATACATCCAAAAATTTAAAGCAACACAATTCAAATGAATGTTTCTAGAATTCTAGTAACATTTTGCGATCCAGCTGATATCTACTCGTTACAAAACTTTCGAAGTTAGTCTTTGAATGGTTTTTAAATTCTCTGATGAAGGAGAAAATTAGGTCGAAATTTTTACAACCTTTGCTAAAAACGTAGGGAGGGTGATATGTGAGTAAATACAATACTGAGAGACTGAATTTTTGCAATCTTCTCTGAATAAAATACTCTAAATATTTCTTAAATTATCTATTCCGTTCATTTAACATATTATTGAACAATAAATTTGTAGTACTCTAAAGTTTTGATTTATTATTACTTTCTAAAATAGCATTTTATATTTCAAATTTCAAAATAATTAGCCCTAAAGGCACGATAATCCCGAATAGTCTCGATACAGCATTTTGCGTCGACACACTTAAATGCGCTGTATCACCTTCTAAATTGTTGCCACCAAACATTATCACCTTGTATTATATTTAAACACATTTAATAATGAAGAATATGCATGAATTATGTTATGTTTTTCGGATTGTAAAAAAAAAAAAAGGTACCTAGAGCCATCAAGTTTCAATAATGTAGTCCTCCATCCGAACATGGCCCTGGAAGCCATTTTGGATCACGAAGGCGTAAATGGAAAGATGATGATGCTTAGTAATAATGCTAAAAATATTTTAACAAATGGCTTTGTTCTAGAGAGTGTAACAGCAGATTGGTTGTCTGAGAATTCAGTGACAGCGTGGCATCCCGTAACAAACTATTTTGGGTGATCGTTAAAATCTGAAACTTTCCAGATCTTTCTAAGAAAATATTTAGCAATATTTTATTGGATTATTATCATAATAATATGTATAAGTTTAGCTATAATTTTAATTGCATTAAGTAATGAATACGTTAAATGACAAAATCAGAATTCTATAAATTTAAAGCAAAATCACTGGATGCACAAATTTTAAACCACTGTACATATTTCAGTTTTGTTTCATGGGTAGTAGATGCAATGATGCTCATTTGATAATAACTGTAGTTTTACATGTTGGCAAAATGAATGAGCGATCAAGCAAAACGGAAGTGAAAATAAATTTCATATTTTATCTTGGATACCCTGATGCACTGAACCCTCAAAAGCACTGCTTCGTTAAATGACTTATTATATTGCAGATGATGACAGAGCATCCATTTTTTCCCATTTGTAAACATTGAACGAATCGGAAAGAAATTTCCAAATTGAATTAATGATGAATGCCGTATTTTATTTTATTTGACGTTAGAAATTTTAAACTCGCAAATGAATAAACATTCTTAATGGTGTAGACTAACCTTTCTGAGAAGCATAGCTTATTTCCTACAGATGAACTGTCGCTTGAAGTTTCTTAAAGGAGGTGGTTTCCTTGACGGTAAAAATTGTTGTGACTTAAAATTCGTAAAGTAACTGCTGATGGGGTATTGAAGCATAAAGGCATCGGTGCAGTCACGACTGAATTCCTTTTTTATTCTATAGTTCTTTTTTATTCTGTTTGAGCCACATTTTACTAAGCCAACACAAACAAATTGGCGCAATAAGCGCACCTTTTTTTGAAGAAATTTTAGCATTTTTGAAGGATGGAGCAACAAAAGTAAGTCTAGGTGCTAACAAGAGCAGAGAAAAGAGCAATATTTCCAGACAAAACTTTAGTTCAAAACCAGTTTACTTGTGCTTTCTGTATAATTTGATTAGCTCACAAATAATTCTCTAAAATGTTTATTGACATTTTAAGGCCTTGAGCTTTGTGCAAGAAAGAGTCTTATGATGGCTGCTCTCTCTGACTTTTTGTTCTGCTTGGCTTATTTAATAACGGCAAAGGATTCGATGGCTATCTGTCTAAGGGTAGAGGTGCCTAAGAAACCACCCATTGTTAGCCCGTGGGCCGTAATTCAAACCCCAGGCCGAACTCCGCGTGTTTAGGGACGTTACCGCTCGGCCACTAGTACGCTGCTTTGAAATCATTCAGCTTACAAGTTTTATTTTAAGCGTACATTTTTAGGACAAAAAGGTGGAGGTACCTAAATTAAAATGAAGAGGTAAACGACTACTGCAAATTAAAAGTAGTGTTTTGCTTAACATATGTATGTATTTAAATAGCTGATATTTAATTTTGCATTGGTTGAAAAAGGTAACACTGTCATAACAATCAGCAATTTTTATATTCCTTACTGATTATGTGTTGTTGTAACATGTGCCTATCGCAATCTATATTTTGTAATACGAGTTCCTCTTAAGAGTAGGTTTCGCTGTTGGCTCTTTCAATAACTGAACTGTTCCAGGACTTAATAATGCCAATGAAGAAACTGCAAACTGTTTAAACTGAAGAGCAACGCATCAACTTGTATTTTAAAATTAAACGTAACAGCGCACTTAGATTATCAAAAACTTTAAAAGTTTATCGAATGCGAGAATGTTCTAAATATGTCTCTTTCCTTCGAAAGCAAAATATTCCTGAAGAAGATTCTATATTAGATCGCTCTCGAAATTTACATAATTTGTATATAAAATCTATGAAAATTATGTTTTATTATATCTGATTTTTAGAGGCAAGATATTTGTTGTCTTTTTTATTAAATGGATTAATCTCAGGTTAATGAAATTTTATTTTTTTGCAGGAGACAGATATAAAACTAAAATCTTCCTAAAGACATTTTCATACATTTTTACAATGTTTGTTACGGAAGCAACTTGAATTTTTATTATCAAATGTTAATGAAATGTTAATTTATTATGAAGTATAATTGAATTGTATTCTCAATTTCTAGGTGTTAACACAAATCAGAATCCCAGCTTCAGTTGCCGGTCCGATGGAGGAAATCCCAACGTCAAAATTCCCGTTCAAGATAGCACCGGACATTCGGACACTGCTGGGGAAAAGTGGAGCAGCAACAATCAATCTAACATCAACCACAAATCGATACGATGACAATTTTCATTGATGTGTTTCATCTGTTCATCTTAAATAATTTAATCGTCATCGGATTTTTACATTCGTCGGGAATGTGCGAAAAGCCCTGCCAAAACCGAATTTTTACTCTAGTCAATCAAAATATGTAAATTGTTATTATAAATAAATGTGTTTTAAAAATGACTCTTCTGTGGCAATAAATTGATGCATTTTATGCGAGCATGCATATTACGAAGATGAGAATTCTTTTTAGATAAATGCGCAGTTGCCAGAGCCATCTGGCTTTCTTTGATTACTCTGAGAGAGTGGAAGAAATGAAATTCATCATGGAAGATTATTTGTGTTGAAAGAGATTTATCGATAATTATTGATACTTTTTTTCGAATTGCAAAATAGTTTGTCCGGATGTGGTATTACACCCTTTCGATTGATTAGTGAGATATAATACAGTTCTGACGTATGGAGCAACATTTCAATAATTGCAATCCGTTGGAAAAGATTTTCTGTATAACTATGCGCTTTGAATTTTTTTCCCAGATTTTAACGTTTTTCTTCAAACTTTATGCTATTTCCAATCTGTAATACATTTATACTTCTGTGCTTCATTTCATAAGGAGAAATGAGATTGTGTACATTGTAATAACGGGAGACTGCACAAAGTTAATTAAAACAAAACGTTAAGGCAAAATACCAACATTTATTAAGTTTTATCTCTGAAGCAGCGGACGAAGATTCAGAATTTTATTTAAGAAATGTGTAAAATATTGAATTGAAGATGAAAGAAATAAATGTCTAAATTATGTATAATTTTATAACCATACGGGTGAATTTTCTTTCTTATTTTTTCTGCCTTTTAGTTTATAAAAACAGGTTCATTCAGATTATTATAAAATTCGAAGGTAGCATAAAATCAAATATCGTTTTGCCGTGATTGTAAAACTTCCTCTGTTACAAGACGATTCTAAATTTTAGAACTGCTGAGTAAAAATAATAAAATAAACTACGGTTTGAATACAAATTTATATGTAGAGCTTGATATGTTTAATGGTTTGTATGAGAAACAACATAAACTATTCTAAATGCCATACTTGGATACTAACCTATCTAAATATGTTTCCTTTTAATGAAGAAAACTAAAGATGAAAGATAAATTATCTTAGCATCATATGGAGAACTTAGTGTGCACATGCAAGACGGATATGCTTTTGTAATCATAATTTTAGTAGGAAGGGACGTTCCATAATCGAGCAAATACAGTATATTAGTATCTTGCTTCCATAATTTATAACTCCAAGGAAACTTAAAATCAAGATAACATCATTTTCATCAAGTATTCAATAACACGAAAGGTTTCAGCTATCAGATAGAACAAAGGTATTTAATTTTAGAAGCATACCTTAAACATTTAAATAAACTCTACGTATTTTGAAATGAAGAACTCACAAAATATGGATTTTCATTTTAAAACTTATAAGATAATGTAATGTAAAAAATTAATCTTTACCATTTCATATAAAACCTAGGCACTAAACAAAAATCATCCCACTACTAGAACATTAGTTAACTAGATAATTTATGTAGTAAATTTAATATAAACGCAAACGTACTGTAGAAAATGCTTTCTTAAGCGGCAGAATGAATCGATAGAGAAAATAATATTTAGTCGTACCAGGAATGAAACGCAGAGAGTAAGGAAACGAGAGCGGATCTTGAATAAATCATTGAACATCGCACTTTTAAGACCATTGTGAATTTTTATACAGGTTTAATATATATATCATCTCTTACCTTTCTACCATCCCAGGATATACATAATAAACCATTCAAGACTACACATTCCGGAGTATGGGATATCATTTATTAAAATAGACTCATTTTTGGAATCCTTTCTCTTCACAGTGAAAGAAGCTGAAGGAGCAGAAAGGAAATCAGAGGATCTCTTGCAGTTTTGTTTCAGATCTAATGATGGTCGTAGTTTCATATTACACAGTACTTTAGTGCCCAAAGTCAGGCGTATGCCTAGAAAAGATCTAAATTAATTACCAATATATTATTACTTCAAAAGGTAATTTATCAGAGATGCGTTCTTTAAATTTGTTGTTTTGTTTGTCTTTATTCAAAAGAAATGTTTCTATAATTTCTGACTTTGATTTCGTTGCTTTTATAGTACCTTTGTTTCTGTAAGTCTGTGAATCTGTGATTATTTCAAAAAGTGAACACATATTTGTCAGCTACATTTTTCTATTTAATTAATACTTTTTTCCTAATAATAGATACTAATTAAATTCTCTAAGTGATTACTTAATTTTTATTTTTTTCACAAAACATAATTTTTTCATATTTTCAAGTTTCTTTGAAATCGTATATAGTGAAGAAATGCAACAAATGTTATGCAAAATGTTTAATATGCATATCCATAATATGATGTAAATTATTTTGGCATTGCTTACAAAGTTAAACATTATCAAGTAATCATCAATTGCGACTCAGGTCGAACTGCATGGCTTGCTTATTGTTTACTTCTTACAGAGTTTACGTACAATGCCTTATTTTAACTTTCATTTATATCACTATAGACACTATAGTAAACTATAGACAGAGATATACCAAAAGAAGGATTCATTGGATGATTTAGGACAAAAATTCAATCATCTGTTCAACTCGAATAAAATTAGAAACATTTCTTATTTGATGTCAATCATCTGAGCGTTCAGCAATTGAACATATTTATACTGCAAATGTACACAATTTAGTCAGCAAATGAACACGATTTATACATTAATCTTTTTTTTTTGATACAATGAACTATGAGGGACAATTGCACGCTTCTGATGATAAACAACTCTTTAGTTATATCAAAAAACTAACTAGAAGTAAAATCAATTCTGGCGTTTTAAAGCCCTAGCTAAAGTTCTAGAGTTCGCAACATTCTCCAGGGCCGAACTTTCGGCAGTACACGAATCAACGAACATTTAAGTTCTTTAAATGTTGGTTGAAAATTATAGAGGACAGGACAGTTGCACAGGTCTCCTAATAAGAGTACCATTCGGTATTCTTACGTTGCAAGCACGAATGCCACCATCATATCCAGGATGCAGTTCTTTTGCAATGCCCATTCGCCAAAAAAATCTATGTGCGTTTTCATCACTTATCAAATCTACGGTATTTTCTCGAAGTTCCATGGACCGATTGACTGGTCATGATTGATTAGCTGACTTGAGTTCAAGAAGGTATGCAAATTTCCATTTATCCATATTTTATTTAGTAAATCTTCTTGGTAGCTTCTCATTTCCAGGAGATGGGATTCAGAGTAAGAAGTATTTTTTTAATTAAGGCTTTCTGCTTCGGGAAAAGTAAGAAATCGTCGCTGGAATAAGAAATTGTCTGCTTTTAGAGTTCCTTTTTTTAATCCTTGTACTGTAAAAGTGAGGAGTAAATAACTGCATCTGTCTCGATCAATATAAGTTCTAGTTTTCAAATTAAGTTAGAATGTTTTTCATAAGCATTTTAACAAATCTCACTAGGGATTCTCAGAATACATCCTACGAGCCAGCTAGCTCTTCGGACGATAAATTGACATGCTTTAGTGAATTTTCCACAAAACATTTTGCACTTTACGATTTTCGGAAGAAGGTTCAGCTCTCGATTTGCCTTTTGGAATATCTTTGCATTATCCTCACAGAGAATGCTGGAACGTCTCTCTTTTAAAGAAATTTTCGAAAGGCTTGAAGAAATGTCTGACTGGTCAAGTGTCAGTTCCGAATGTATCACTGTGATTGCGACACATATTGAAAGCAGTATATACGTCCTCTTTATGTGTCTTGATCTTTAATGTATAGAGGCTCTAAATATTCCCTTCAAGTTTTTGCAAATGACATGCTTCTGTTAGGTGAGAATAGCGCAAACCTCTGAGTTGCGGACTACACTCTACATTTCTGGGATAAATGGCATTTCTGAAATGTAGACTCATAAGGTTATTTTGAAACGGAAGACGAGAAAATGTGCAGTACCCTCACCGAGACTCGAACACTTGAACTTTCGTGTACGTGTTGAGTATACTTCCAACTACACCGCGAAGGTCTGAGGAAAGGCGCATATATATAGCATAATACCCTTAGTTCTTTATCTGATTGTTAAAATCCAATCCATATCATCTTTCTACGGTGGACCAGGCTTTCTGTTGCGTCTCTATCCTTTAATCGTTCATACGAGCCTTTAATAATAAGATCAGATAAGGGATAAGAACTTCGAAATAAACTGGATATGCTTCTTGATTGGAAATATGGAAATATGGATAAATCTTCACATTGTAAATAAATCATATAATCTAATCTTTATTTTTCAGATGACCCTTTCCACTGAAGTTCTTTGTCCTTCAGAGCAGATAAATTTTATCCTCTAAATAGCAAATCCGAGAGGTTTTAGTTTTCGGAGTAATGATTACACCAAGCTGAACTGTAAAGTGTTCTAATTTACTTAAATATGTTTTTTTTTCAATACTTTCAGTTTTCGAGATATATCTTTGATCCCATGAAATATAATCCTAGAGTCGGACCAGAAATAAAATTTAGTATCTTTCAGTAATGTCACGTTGTTTCAAATTTATTGAAATAACTTGGCTCCTTCAAGAGCTGCAAGGATTCAGAAATGCAACTTTGTAAGGTATTTTAGGTTAATTAACTCGTTTCTACGATTAGAACCTTTATTATAACTTCTACTCGTTGTTTTTACCCATGTTAAGGAGGCAGAAATTTGTGTAGTCTTTGAGTACTATACATTTCAATTCAGCTTATATTATTTTAATACTGGAAAGTGTCAAGGTTTGCTTTGCACTCAGAAGTGTTCCTTTCTGGTTAAAATTTAGGCTAGATAAAAATATAAATGAACAATTTCATAGGACTCATTTTATTCATAGTAGACTAAGTGATCGCTAGCTATCAGTCTACTAGTTTTTTTTTTTTTTTTTTTTTTTTTTTTTTTTTTTTTTTTTTAATTTTATTAACAAAACAAATACAAAACTTCTCGTGTTCCACGAAGTATTCCACGAGGCTTACAGATGTATGTAAATAACTCCTAATACGAGGAGATACAATTCAACAATAGAAACATACTCTCTAGGTCGGGAGAGAGCAAAGAAAAAATATAAGAAACAAATACTACTATAATAAAAATACCAAGATATA